CCCAATTTTTTTTTTTATTCTTAAGTCATCTCTACACTTAATATGGGGCTTCAACTTACAACGCTGAGATTAAGATGCTCCACTGACTGAGCCAGTCAGGCTCCCTTCTGCTTTTTTTCTTTTTTTTTAAACTTGAGACAGGGGTGGGAGGGGCAGGGAGAGAGAGAGAGAGAGAGAGAGAGAGAGAGAGAGAGAGTGTCTTAAGCAGGTTCCATGCTCAGTGCTGAGCCCATGACTCTGGGATCATGAGCTGAATTTAAGAGTTGGACACTCAACCAACTGAGCCAGTCAGGCTCCCCTCTGCTTTTTTTTTTTTTTTTAACTTGAGCGGAGGTTGTGCTGGAGGGACAAAGAGAGAGAAAGAGAGAGAGAGAGAGAGAGAGAGAGAGAGAGAATATCTTAAGCAGGCTCCATGCTGAGGGCAGAGCCCAATGCAGGGCTCAAGCCCATGACCCGGAGATTGTGACCTGAGCTGAATTCAAGAGTCGGACACTCAACCCACAGAGCCACCCAGGTGCCCCTGCTTTACTATAGCAGAATATACAGTGCGATAGTACACAACTTACTAGAAATTAGCTGTTTTGTCACCTACGGTGTAACGTAGCCACTGTTCATGCTTCTCCACGCTGACAAATTAGGGGCCCCTGTTCGACCGCCAAGCTGGATTAGTTTTTGCAGAGCACTATCTGCAGGGGATGGGCGTCTGCCTGGCTGGTGGAGCCATGGGCACAGAACCTTGCTGAGAGGTTAGCGATTTCATGTATCTTTAGGTCACTCACATGGAGGTAATAAGTGAGAATGGGGACCTTGACTTATTTGAGGAAAATAGTCCAGAAAGAGAATGCAGGTGTAGAGAGGGCCCAGAACTGTTAGCGTGTGTGCATACAGGCCTCTGGAGTCACGAAAGCCCGAGTCCAGGAAGCAGAGCGTTGCAAACACTGTCCGATGCCACCTGCGTTGAGGAAAAGCAGGGGAAACGCTTGGACTGAGGCATGTGACGCAGTTGCTGAGCCGGGCCGAGCCCGGCCGCGGTGGGTTGGCAGAACGAACGATGCAGAGGCAGAGGTGGAAGTCCTGCTCTTGTGGGAGAAGCCAGTGGTGGACATCACATGGGAAATCAGATAAAGCTCGCAGCAGTAGGAGGTCTGGACAAAGGCTTTTCATTTTATTTTCCAGAGACAGATTGCTCTGCGCAGCAGGAAGGATGGGAAGCTCAATGAGTCCCCATGCTAGTTTTAAAGGGAACTCACTTCCTCTAAAGTAGATGGAGGGGTGCCTGGGTGGCTCAGTCTGTTGGGCATCCAACTCTTGATTTCAGCTCAAGTCATGACCTCACGGTTCGGGTGTTCGAACCTCACGTTGGGCTCTGTGCTGACAACATGGAGCTTGCTTGGGATCTTCTCTCTCCCTCTCTCTCTGCCCCTCCCCTGCTCTCTCTCTCTCTCTCAAAACAAACAAACAAACAAACAAACAAACAAATAAAAACTTACTAAAAAAGTAGGGGAGATTTTAGACAATATGCAGAGAGAATATGTGGAGGGAAGAGAGGAGAGAGGGCCCTGCCATCTCGGGGTCCACTGCAGTGGTCTGGGGGATGCCACAGGATAGGTGGGGGGGTGAGCAAAGATTTGAAACGGTTAAAGAGAGACAGCTGTGCCTGGAGGGGACAACAAGCCAGGTCTGTGGCAGGGTAGATAGATGTGGGAAGTCGTGTCCTCCACTGGGACCGACCACTAGAGGGCATCGGGACCTCGCGCTCCGCCATCCCACACAGGACTCTGGGGGACCAGAGACGCGACCCCGGCCTGTTCCTAGGGCGGCCTGAACCAGATGGCTGGCTGCTCACCGTTCCCTACACAGTCACTGGTCTCTCCTAGAGATGGTGGAAACCAGCTCTCCCCACTTGTCTCCCCAGTGGATGGCAGCGACAGTCATCTGACAACTACACAGGACACTGCTTTATAAACTTCCAAGGGCTCTGTCACTGTAAACTGCTCTCACATGTACTGGAAATCATACAGGCTCGCTGAGCCCGAATTATCTTCTCTGTATATCTAGACTCTCAGCTTTTAAATGAAAAAGGACTGTCAGGGTATCTGAAGATGTCCTGAATGAGATGAAATAATATGTCTGGGATTTATTTTAAAGCAACCCAGTGTAGTAGGAGGAGGTGTGTGGGTGAAAGGGAACAGGTGAAATTTTCCATAATAATGTTTCTAAAAACACTATGTTTCCCAGGTCTCCTTGTCTATAAAATGCATAGGTCATGCCAGTGGGGTTCCTTCTAGCTGTACCCTCTAGGACTCAGAGGCTCACTGTACAATGCATATCACCAGTTAGCTTGAGGGGTGTGTGGGTCTTAAGGCTAGGGAGGCCCCAAGCTCCTAAGAAAAGTCTTGGAATGCAATGTCCCAGGACCATCTCTTGTCTATTTCAGTCCACCGCAAGCCCTGAGGAGGCGAGACCTGCTTGGACCTCATTGCTCCCACCTCCCAGGACCATCCAGATCTTCCTTTGGGACCTGAGTTGTCACAGGGCTTGGCACAAAGGTCTCAGCTGCCCCACTGGGGTTTTCGTTTGCACAGAGCCTCTTCAACTGTTGCTGCCAGCAACAATGAGAAGTGGCAGCAATGTAGAACGAACTCCAAAAGAGAGAAGGAACACCGCTGCCCAGGTGGAGGGGGCAGAGGGGTTCTTAGGGAAGCGGCAAGGACCAGGGAACCAGCCAGGGTTGGTGCCGGCATTTCTAATCATACGACATCACAGCTGGTATGTGCGTGTGTGTTGAGGTGGAAGGGGTGGAAAAGCGTACAGGTAACACGGCCACACCCCAACTGCTCAGCTCTTCTCCTGAGACACACACTTGGGGCAACACCGCCAGACCCCATCAGCTTCGGGATGGTGGATGGGATGCAACAACATGGGGTGAGGGGAGCGAGAAGATCCCTTTGGCACTTGAAAGGGAAACAGACTTACCAAGTGTGCCGGGGATGGTGACCTGGTGTCCTTGACTGTGGCACTGGATGGGACATCGAGGAGGGGCCATTTCATCTGTAGGTACTGCACAGGGGATAGAAAACACAAGGCATCTGGTGAGATGAGGCCTCGCGAGCACCCCCAAGTGAGCAGAGGAGGAGCTGTGCAGGTAGGCTGCTGCTGGTTCTCCGTGACTGCACATGCTCCTTCCTGCTCAGTGTCCAGATGATTATCTCAGGGGAGAGCACACACTCAGAATCACCACTACCATCACCTGCCCCCTCTGTCATGTTGTGGGGGACACACAACAGGACAACCAGCCAAAGTGTCCAAAGAACCTATATCGCTGAGGGTCAAGCTCTCCCTGCTCTAGTCATGGGACAAGCAGGGCACATCTAGGGACCAAGGGCTCCCACATGGTGATCCTGCCCCATTCATTCCCATCACACACAATACTCCCTAAGAAATAGCCTCCAGAAGTATTTGGTGAAGGAATGAATAAAAACCATCTGCCCGACACTCGCAGGGTCATGGGTAATACCTGTCCGTACTCAACGATGCTGATTTAACTTCTAGCTATAGTGTTTCTCAGCCTTGAAAAGATTATCCAGTACCTTACCCTGTATTATTGCAGAAAATCCAAACCAAACAGCAAACCCTCAACATACACATGCACATACTTTCTTTAAACAAAAAGCTTCTTCTTGGGGCACCTGGGTAGCTCTGTCATTTGAGCAACGAACTTGATTTCGGCTCAGGTCATGATCTCAGGGTCAAGGGATTGAGACCTTGCACTGGGCTCTGAGCTGAGCATGAAGCCTGCTAGAGACTTTCTCTCTCTCTCCCTCTTTCTGCCCCTATCCCCTGCTCACGCGCTCTCTCTCCCTAAGATAAAAAATAAAATAATTTTAAAAAGCCTCTCCTCAACCCTGGCATGGCAGTCTTTGGCAAGGGCTGGAAAGGAATGAGTGGAGGGGCTAAGAGGGGCACTGGGTGAGCCCGCCTGGGGTCTGGAGTCAAACGCTCATGGGTTCAGGATCTCACTCTGCCAGTGTAGGCTGTGCAACTCTGGACAAGCATCTTAACAACTCTGAGTCTCGGCTTCTGCATCTGTAAGGCAAGGCTACTCTCAATAACTTTATAGGTTGTTAGAAGGATTAGGGACAATGTCAAGTATTGAACACAATGCTTCGCACGTGGGAGACATTTGATAAATGGCAGCTAGTATTTTCGTAAGCAAACCATTAGTCTTTGCCAAGGGCAAAGCATACATGTTGTCTTAGTGTCAACACTGACATGGTGTTTCTGGGCAGCAGACCAGCTATGCAGACTCTTTGCAAAATTCTTGAGGTTACTTTGGAAATTACATCTCCAATAGGAAATGATGGCTCCAGGAAGAGTTTCATAGACAGAAATAAGTTTCTGAGTTATCCCTTGCTCTGGTCACTCAATTTCAGGGAAAAAGAAATCGTGAGTTGGCCTTGAGCTATGTGCACAGGATCAGAAAACTAGGATGGGCCGTGCCCCTTTGCTTTCCATCAAAGAGTCCACAAATATGGACTGAGTGGGCAGGGTCTGGGCTTTCAAAACAATGTCCACAGGCAAGGATAATGGCCCTAGGGCACATCTACAAAGGGCCAGTGAGTAGCACAGACAGCAGGTGGGATGGACCAATCAGGCCTGGCTGTGGGAGGCTTGGGAGGTGGGAACAAAAGGGGGTTGTGGGGGTGCTATAAATGAGGGCAGTCTTCACTCTGGGCCCTCTGTTGCCTGCCCCTCCATCCATGAGGCCACACCGAGTATCATCCCTGTCCCTGCATTCTGCTGATTCGTCCCACCCCCACCTGTCTTCTTCCTTACCCAGAGCCTACGCTTTGTAGATAAACTAACTGGGATTTCAATGCCTTTGGCAAATTAAAAACACTGGACAAATACTGGAGTCATGAGTTAAAACTCATTTCCTGGGGTGCCTGGGTGGCTCAGTAGGTTAGGCACCCAAATCTTGATTTAGGCTCAGGTCATGATCTCAGATTGTGAGTGTGAGCCCTGAGTCGGGCTCCGCACCGACAGCTCGGAGCCTGCTTGGGATTCTCTCTCTCTGCTCCTCCCCTGTTTGCTCGCGTGTGCATGCGCACTCTCATGCAGGCTCTCAAAAATAAATACATAAACATTAAAAAAAAAAAAGCCCTCATTTCCTCAGTGAATAACATCTGTGCCATACTGGCAGTTTCCAAAGCATTTCCAAACACATAAACCAGCTTCCTCTTCACAACAACCCTGCTATTGCAAGTAGGGGTGACTGTCCCAAATTTTTCAGATGAGCTAATGGAGGTAAACAGGGTGAGTGACTAGCCCAAATTTATGATGGGAAGTGAAGTTGAAGTCTCTTGGCTTCAACTCCATGCTGTTCACTGCGACAGCAGTCATCACATCACCTTCTCGAACCCCACCCCCCCAGCCTTTTCTTCGCTCCCATGGGTTTTTCTCCCTCCCTTTCTGTCTCGCCCAGGGCTGGCAACCTCAGAGCTGAATGAATATATACACACCAATGTTCTCCTGTAGGGACACTTGAGGTGACCCAAGCTTACACCGTTCATCACACTGCTTCCCTAGAAGCAACAACCTGAGCATTTATCCGTTTTTCTTGAAGTTGAACTACAATCACAACTATCACGTGTGAAAAGAAGTACCCCAAATCCACCCCAATATGAAACATAGTAGAAGGGGCTCCTGAGACCCACCAACTCTACCAGCATCTGGTTTCCCTAATTGACATCATAAAGACACACGCTGAACACTCCTCATTCTTGTTGGCCAGGGATGTTCTTAGATCAAATAGGAATCCATCTGAATTCTAGTTTGGGAAAGAACATTATTAGTGGACCTTTTGAGTTGTTAGGCGGAGCAGGCTTGTAGGAGTCTAGTTCAGGGCTTCTCAACCATGGCACTAGTGACATTTTGGGATACTGTGGGGGCTGTCCTGCGCACTGCAGGATATTCAGCGGCATCCCTGGCCTCTGCCTACCAAAAGCCAGTAGCTCCCATTCTCCTGCCCATTTGTGACAACCAAAAAGGTCTCCAGACTTTGCCAAATGTCTCTGGGAGTGGGAAAACCGTCCCCCAATGGGAACCACTGCTCTACTATGAGCTCCATGAGGGTCTGCCTTCATGCCGGGGCTATCAAGGTACAAATATACATATGGACACACACACACACACACACACACACACACACACACACACACACTCAGAGAAAGTGCTTTTAGTAATAGCTACTGTGTTTGGTTGTCCATCACATGCTTGGTGTCTTACCTACCCACTGCCTGGACTTCCAGGGGGAGGAAGAGACCACACTGTCCTCATATCTCTGTAGGGTTCCCTCTCACTCAATGACTTTAACAGAGACCTGGAAACTTAGAAGTGTGTAAAAATCTTTAGCCTTGTCCACGACCGAAGCCCGGCCCCATAGAGATCTGTCAGACAGGTGGGGAGAGTGGTTTTGGCAATGGTGGACATCTGGCCCAGGACCTTTCCCGCTCCAGGAAATCTGGGGGGTGGGGGGTGGGGGTGGTGTGGGTGTGCACGTGTACAAGGAAGGATTCATTCGATAAAGAAATAGAGGATAGTCCCTTCCCCCTTTCTACTTTTCTGCCTTTTTAAGATTTTGAAACACGTGATGCGGGGTGGTGGGGAAAGACCTATAAAAAGACGCAGGGGCCCACTGCAGCTTCGCCATCAAACTCCCCTGGATCGCAATTCTGAAGAAAGGAGCATTCGAGAGGGACAGCTGAGCTTCCCAGAACCACAGATCAGGGCAGCAGGGACCTGCGGCAGCACCTCTGTAAGCCTCTCCCACCTCAGCACCAGATCTGTGGAGGTAGCCGGGCAGTTCTGAATTCCTGGGTCAGGCGTACCCCAATGTTTAGGGGCAATAAAACTCTCTTTGGCTGCAATTCTCATCTGAAGTCAGCCCACGATCACCCTGGGGCTAATCAGTTATCTGGGGAGTAAGAGAGATGTGGCTGAGCTTAGATTCTTTGTATGGTAATGGCACGTGGGCAAATTAAAAATGCTAGGTTTCTCCAAGCCTAGTCTAGGTTTTCCATCCAACTGACCACAACCGGCTCCTGACCAGTGTTATCATGCACAGGCTGTAGCGCAGTGAGGATGGGCCGGCGGGCTGCCTCCCTGCCCGGGATGCTCTTTGGAATGTAGACCATGGAAGCTGTGTGGCACCAGTGCAACTGACTGCCAAGTGATAGCAACGGCCACCACACATGGGATGCTGACTAGGAGGTAAGTATTCTCTTCTGATACTCAGAAAGAGAAAACTAGACTCAAATGGTGAGTACTACCACTCTCGATTTACTCATGCTGCTTAATATGCTACCTCATGTTGTGACTCTCTGAGACAGGACAGATATGCAGTTTCCTGATCTGACTGAATTTGGGAAACTCTTTCTGGGGATTGGGGTTCCATAGAACACACTTGGGGAACTTATGGTTCACAGTTAGGTAGACTGAGGCTGTGGTTTAGAACCTGTCTTTACTGTACTGACTCAGTTGTGAGATGTATACATAGTGATAGATTTTCTTACACGAAAGCATCCTTGCATGCCGCAGGTAAACCCTATTTGGTCACGGTGGCTTGTTCGTTCTTGTACTGTATTGTGGAATGCAAACTATGAGTCTCTTAAGATTTTGACTTCAACATTCCTAAGGGAGAGTGAACAAAAAGTTTTTTTTGTGGTATTTTTCTCAAGGGCTGCTATCAGTGTTATTTTGGCTTTACTCTTTATAAAGGGGGCTGTACCTCTTTTTCTTTATGCTCTGGGTCCCTTTCTGCTTCTGGGGCCCCTCTTTAGTGCCCTTAGTGCCCTCCTTGCGGTGAATACTTGGCCAGGTGGGCTATTTCCATTCGACTTGGCCCCAGGGAAGGGTCCCTCTGAAGGGCGCTCTCACCAAAGACCCAGAACCTCCTTTCCTGCAGGGAGGCAGAGAATCGGTCCTACAGGATCCCTGCTTAGCTTGAAGACTGTGCAGCAGATTAATTGCAGCTGTGCCCTGGAATTTCCCCAACATAC